GTCGAAACATTTCACAAAAACAGGTCGGGGAGTATCAACCCTTAACACCATGTGGCAAGGTGTTCAGGATTGAACCCACTCAAAATTCCGTCAGAAAAAAATTAAACCCAGTGGAAAGGCATCAACCTAAACACCAGGCGGGTTCCCGTGTTTAGGGTTGATCCCTCCAAAAACTGCGTCTCCCTAACACATAATAACCCCGATGGATGGGACCAACCCTAAAAACCTTGCCACAAAGTGTTTAGGGTTGATGACTCACTAAATGGCATACCACCTGAGAGGGTATATTGTTTTTTGCCCGAAAGTTGACATCAACAGGTAGATGTGGACGATGACCGTCTAGAAAGACGGTCATCGTGTTTGTTGACTGTTTTACCCAATAAGGGTTGGACTTCCCTACCAGCGTAATAAGTGCGCGCTCTCAGATTGGGAATCCGTGTAACCATTCCCCAACAGTACTAACACTACCTTCGGAGCGAACTATGTACAGTAATACTTCTCGATAGACTAAAAACCCTAAAGCATTTGTAGAAACTCAATTTCTCTTCACCTGACACCTTGATACAAGTACACCTAACCACCGCTTATTTCAACCCCGAACCCTTGCACTGTTCTCGCGTTTCGTCAGAAGAAACGAGAATGAATGAACTATAAAAGAAGTGGGTACAAGTACTAACCCTAATTGGGTTGTACCCCCTATGGGATACCCCACTACAGCCTACACAATATGTATAAGCTATAATGTTCCGACACACCTCCACAGGCAAAGTGGGGGAGAACAAGGGGTCACAAGACCAGTCAAGCAAAGCAAAGCAAAGCAAGCTCAGGGTGGATCTCAAAGTCACCACACATTCCGAGAAGAAGGTCAAGGCCACAAGGCCAGTTCACATGCAAGAGTACACACATATATACAAAACTAGACAAGCAAGAGCAGGTATATATATATATGAAACAGTACAAGCAAGGTCAAGAGGTGAGCAAGTGAGGCAAGACAGGCACAAGACCCAGCTGAGTGCAGAAGTGCAGATGATCACAAGGCGCAAGTGCCTTAGTGAACACATAAGCAGTGTTGGCGTCAGAGGCCATGTACGCAAGCCGCAACAGACCACGCTGCTGTAGCTCACGAGCAAGGAAGTAGCGGAGAGCAATGTGCTTTGTTCTGTGCTCCAGTCCCTGCTCTCGACACAAGGCCAGCATGGCCTTGTTGCCTACGTACAGAACTGGAGGAGAACGAGGCGGCTCTCTGAGAAAACTGAAACGAGAAAGAATGAACTATGAATGAAGTGGGTACATATATGAAACCCTAATTGGTTTTACCCCTTATGGGATACCCCACTATAGCCTACACAACAGCACAAACTATAATGTTCTGACACACCCCCATAGGCAAAGTGGGGGAGAACAAGGGGTCACAAGACCAGTCAAGCAAAGCAAAGCAAAGCTCAGGGTGGATCACAAAGTCACCACACATTCCGAGCACAAGTTCAAAAGCCAAAAAGGCCAGTTCACATGCAAGAGCACATATATATATATATATAAGAGGCTAAGCAAGCAAGAGCAGGAGTATATATATGTGACAGTACAAGAAAGGTCAAGAAGTGAGCAAGTAAGGCAAGACACGCACAAGACCCAGCTGAGTGCAGAAGCGCTGATGATCTCAAGGCGCAATTGCCTTGGTGAAGACATCAGCAGTGTTGGCCTCACAGGCCACGTACGCAAGCCGCAACTGTCCACGCTGCTGTAGCTCACGAGCAAGAAAGTAGCGGAGAGCGATGTGCTTTGTCCTGTGCTCCAGTCGCTGCTCTCGACACAAGGCCAGCATGGCCTTGTTGTCTACGTACAGGACTGGAGGAGAACGAGGCGGCTCTCCAAGGTCGGTCAGCAGGTAGGTGAGCCAGCGAAGCTCCTGGGCAGCCATAACCCCGGCGTAGATCTGAGCCTCACAACTGGAGCCGAGAACAGAAGATGAGCAGGTAGCCCGCCACGAAACAGAGCCGGAACCAAGACTGAAAGTGTAACCCTGTGACGACCGCTGCGTAGCCTGGTCGTTAGCCCAAGAAGCGTCCGCGTTTCCAGTGAGGACCACTGGACTTCGCCCTCCAAGCACTAGCCCCATGCCCGACGTACTGCACAAGTAGCACAACACCCTCTTTGCTGCAGCCATGTGCTCCGGCTGTGTCTCCAAGGAGCAACATAGCGTGCAAGAATGCTAAGAGGGTATGCAAGGTCAGGTCGTGTGCAGGTCATCAGGTACATGAGGCAGCCAACAAGCTCTGGATACGGGCCACTCGACTCTACGGACTCATCCGAAGGCAGAGCTGAGAGTGAGTGGCGAGTAGGCAGAGGAGTGGCCTGAGGCGAGGAGTACGTGAAGCCGAAGCGCTCAAGAATCTGCTGCACCATGTGTGACTGAGTCAGGGTAATGGTGCGGCGTGCTCTGTCCCGGGTGATCTGCAAGCCAAGGTAGCTGCGCAGTTCACCCAGGTCAGTGCACGTGTGTCTCTTCTGCACCTCGGACTTCACGTAGGCGAGTCCAGCAATGTCAGCTGTGGCAAAGACCAAGTCGTCGACGTACATAAGGATGTAGAACGGCGGCAGAGAGGTGTCGATGCGTAGAAACAGCGACGGGTCGGCAGTAGAAGGAGCAAACCCAAGAGCCGCAAGCGTAGTCCTCAGTGTGTCGTGCCACTCACGTGGCGCCTGGCGGAGACCGTAGACTGGACGCCGGAGACTCCACTGGGTACCAGGAGGGAAAGACCCAGTGAAGCCAGGTGGGCGGCGCAGCCAGATCTCCTCGTGCAGGCTGCCCTGTAAGAAAGCTGTGCTGAAGTCGAGAGAGTGCAGCTCGTAGTCACGGTGAGCAGCAACGTGCAGCAGTACCCGAAGAGTGGTCATCTTCGGGGTGGGGGAGGTCCGAAAGTAGTCAACTCCCTGCCTCTGACTGAAGCCACGAGCCACGTACCGCGCCTTGAAGACAGGCGGAGAACCCGGCGGCCGCTTCACCCTGAAGATCCACATGCCACTGACGATGTTCGCCCCAAGAGGGGGAACAGCGTCAACGTAGGTGCCTGTGGACTTCCAGGAAGCCATCTCTGCATCCATAGCTGCCTGCCACTGAGAGGAGTAGGGACCCTCTATCGCCTCCGCGTAAGAGCGTGGAGTCGGGATGTCAAGTGCATCCGGGTCTCCCTCAGGAGTAAGCAGTACGGACACGAGATGAGATGAAGCAGCTGCCAGACACTGGAACTCCTCCTGCCTGTCCTCAAGGACGTCCGTGCCAAGGGCACACTCACCCCTGACGGACGGAGGACAGACAGACTTAGATTCAGCGACAAGACTAGCAGCGTAGTCTAGACGACAACGAGTAGCAAAGTCGACAAGCTCAGTAACGAGGGCAGACGCAGCAGTTGACTCGAAAGAAGGGTCAGTGACGACAGTAGCAAAGAAACGCGTGACAATGGGACTGGCAGCACGAAGAGAGTCCGACTCCGGGTCGGCAAGAGCAGGAAGAGAGGACTTAGGAGGAGAAGGCAAGGTGGCACGTAGAGGAGCAGTAGACAGACGCAGAGACATCCAGTGCGTGCCAGGGATAGGAGGAGGATGCTGACGCGAACCGCGACCACTAGCGCGCGCAGCACAAACAGGCGACGCAGGACGAGACGCAGGC